GTGCTGACCATCCCTTAAGATGCTCAGAGTGTCTGTCGATAGACTTCTTCTCTTTGACTCTAGGCCAAAGCATATCCCCATGTGCCTTAGATCCTTGTGTTAAACAGAGTCATATCGGCCCAAGTGGTGGGGGAGGGGCCTGGTCCTAAGGAAGGTCCTAAGGAGGATACACGGAAGGAGGAGAATCCCTGCTCCCAAAGGAGAGGCAGGGATAAACACCACGGGAGACAAGGCCTGAGATTCAACTCTCTACTAAGGAAGCCTGTGCTGTGTATGACACACTGAATTGAGCAACTGAGTCTGAGAAGGTGACATAAAGGAGGTAAGTTTGGGTATGTTATTTTCAGGATGGGGAGGAAATATGGAGGAATGGATGAGGAATGGGTACCAGATAAGCAGACAGCTCTGCAGCAGTGCCGGAGAGGAGCCAAGGGCGAAAGGGAAGAATCAGCTGGGGTGGCTGCAGGGCACTGTTCTGGGGAGGGGAAGGCAGGGCAGTTTGGGGGGGGTCACTTCACAGTTGAGGATGGGAGATTGACGAGTAAGTGATCCTCGCTCCTAAGGAGGATACAAGATTACTAAATGACACGTAGGCTGTATCCTCAGATACTGAGGAATGATGGAAGCAAAAGTACTCTACTGCACTTGGGGGGCCACGTGCAAAGGATAAAGTTCCTAGACGTAGCAGTCAGGCAAAGGATCCAAAATCAGGTGGAGATGGGAATTCACTGGAATAGAAGGAATACTTTTTCTGGTATTTTCTCCAAAGATACGAAAAGCAGCAAATAGAGGACAAGAGAATCGGGCATAGGAGTGGAAGGTCTGAAAACGGGCTGCCAGAGAGAAAACTTCAAGTGGAGCACTTGGGGATGCTCACTAGTTAGGGGATGTGGCATCCCCTAACATCAATAGGTACCTGAACTAGAGTGAAAACAGAAGTCACATGGATGAATGAATGGGAGAAACTGTGAGCAAAGGCTGCCTTGGAGGCTGACTATGTCAGAGGGGCGCTGAAGCTAGGGAAGAGGAGTTGACACAGGTGTCAGGTGACTGACAGGTGGGAGCACATAGTGGAAGATGATCACACAAGATCTGGAATGAGTGCACGGATCGCACAGACTACAGACCCGAGGAGGATGTGAGATCTGGTTATAAACCCACGATTGGTGTGGTATGAGTGTATGCCCTTGACGGCATAACCTTACATAATTGAGTGAGAGGGAACCTTCCTATTCTGTCATTGTTTTAACATTCACTGGGTGTCAGCTCCCCCAGACACCAGTGAATGAGACACAGTTCTGACCCTCGGAGAGCTCACAATACACCAGGGCTGAAAATATTTCAGTGTGGTAAGTGCTGGAGAGAGAGAGAGGTAATTGCAGGGGGTATAGGAGTGCAGAGGAAGCACATAGCCCAGCCTTGGAGCAAGAGGAAAGGCTTCCTGAATGAGAAATGTAAGCTGGCTAGGTTAAAGGGGAGGATGGAGGTCGAGGAAGTGGAATATGTAAGTGACCACAGAGAAAGAAGTGCAGATTCAGAGACATGCACTTTGTCCAGTTTTAGTAGAGAAGGAAGGAAATATGTTTGTGTGAATCTTTCAGGCAGTGAGAAATTATCTGTAATCAAATAAGTACTGAGCTCAAAATTATCTCTTGGAAATATAATTTATATGTAGATGCTGGTTTAGAGACTTAAAGAACTGAAGGCTAAAAGACCAGTTGGGAGGCCTTGGTAAGTGGGCAATAAAATTGAAAACTTAAATTGCAAAAATAAAATATAGATTTATTTTTAGAAAACTGGCATTTTAACTGGGTCCTCTAATTTTTATAATGATATACATCTCCATTTATTTGTTTTTAAAAATCTCTTTCAACAATAGTTTGTAATTCTTAATGCAGAGGCTTTACATATTTAAGTTTATTTTTTAAGTATGCTATGTTTTCAACATACATTTTGTATGTTCTTATGTTTGTATTATAAATAGAACTTTTTAATTTTCCAGTTGTTCACAGCTAGTATGAAAAATGTTTATTTGTACTGTCTTTGAACTAAATAAATAAATAATTTAATCAACCAATTAATTAAAGTAACTCAAGGGAGCATTTTTATACCTAAGTAAAATATGTCACAATTTTAATAACGAAGGCATCATTGAAACGCAGGAGAAACATTCACATTCACACCACTTCCTCTAAGACTGGAGGAAACAAGAGGAGGATGGGTGCAGAGGTAAAAAATTCACGGGACTGAAATAATAATTTAACTTGGCTCCTGATCGTTTGAAAACCTCAGTTACATAGCAGGAACATTCCATTGAATAGAGGAATGGAATTTGGGCAGTGGTAAAATTGTATATTCACTGTGATAATAATTAAATAGGACTGAGGGGTCCAGTGCCCTAAAATGTATAAAGACCATGTGTGTGGTTGTGCCATTTACACTGTGACTTCGTGAGCTGAGGATGACACTGCTTAGAGTCAGTGGAAGCCTGAGCGTCTTCAGGGAGAATGCTGCAGAGACCAGTCGGGACTGAGAAGTTGTTAGTCCGTCAGAAGTGATGGACGTTTAAGACTAGCTAGGGAAGAGAGTAATAAGATTCTTACATCAGGGTTGACAAACATTAACGTGAAACAAAGTCACTTGGTGGCCTTGCTAAAAGCCAGGCTGCTGCCTCCAACTGCAGAGGCTCTGCTTCATTAGGTCTGTGGTAGGGTTCAAGAATTTGCGAGTTCCCTGGAGGTGCTATTGATATTGGTCTGGAGAAGCATTGCTCCACAGCTTCCTTCTTGTTCTGGGTGATAGCACCTCACTTAAGGGCCAGAAAGGTGACAGAGGAGGCACCACAGAGTTTAGTAAGGCTTCCACAGACAAAATTCATTTAATACACCAACAGGATGACAATTATGCTCATTTTGAAGGTTCCAGAGTTGTTTCTCACAGAGGATAGTGACTTGTCCTAAATCACATGACCTGACAGAGCAGATCTCTGACCCATTTTTTTTTCTACACAATGTTGTGTTCTTCCTAAATACCGTAGCTGCCTTCACAACCTCCATATTTGTCAGAGCATCTGTGACTGAGAGGAGAGAGGTGGAGTCTACAGTGCCCACTGCCCCCAACCCTGCTCTCCCACACAGTCTGTCAAGCAAAGGCAGTTGCTCTTTGGTGCAGGACTTCAACCCTTGTGTGCAGAGCCTGGGGCTTCTCTGGAGTTCAGGACAGATCACATAACCCATAGAGATTACAGGGCTTGTTTCTGATGTTTGAGCTTTTCCTGCTCTCTGCAGAACCTGTGCATACATTCTTCAGAACCTGCATTGTACAGAGTCAGGCAATGTTTTTGAATCCTGTAGTTACCTTAAAGGCTTACAGATGTATAGAAAGCCTCTGAATAAGGACACAGAGCCCGGCTGTGGGTAGGGCCTACAACCATGCTCTTTGAACTAAATAAATAAATAATTTAATCAACCAATTAATTAAAGTAACTCAAGGGAGCATTTTTATACCTAAGTAAAATATGTCACAATTTTAATAACGAAGGCATCATTGAAACGCAGGAGAAACATTCACATTCACACCACTTCCTCTAAGACTGGAGGAAACAAGAGGAGGATGGGTGCAGAGGTAAAAAATTCACGGGACTGAAATAATAATTTAACTTGGCTCCTGATCGTTTGAAAACCTCAGTTACATAGCAGGAACATTCCATTGAATAGAGGAATGGAATTTGGGCAGTGGTAAAATTGTATATTCACTGTGATAATAATTAAATAGGACTGAGGGGTCCAGTGCCCTAAAATGTATAAAGACCATGTGTGTGGTTGTGCCATTTACACTGTGACTTCGTGAGCTGAGGATGACACTGCTTAGAGTCAGTGGAAGCCTGAGCGTCTTCAGGGAGAATGCTGCAGAGACCAGTCGGGACTGAGAAGTTGTTAGTCCGTCAGAAGTGATGGACGTTTAAGACTAGCTAGGGAAGAGAGTAATAAGATTCTTACATCAGGGTTGACAAACATTAACGTGAAACAAAGTCACTTGGTGGCCTTGCTAAAAGCCAGGCTGCTGCCTCCAACTGCAGAGGCTCTGCTTCATTAGGTCTGTGGTAGGGTTCAAGAATTTGCGAGTTCCCTGGAGGTGCTATTGATATTGGTCTGGAGAAGCATTGCTCCACAGCTTCCTTCTTGTTCTGGGTGATAGCACCTCACTTAAGGGCCAGAAAGGTGACAGAGGAGGCACCACAGAGTTTAGTAAGGCTTCCACAGACAAAATTCATTTAATACACCAACAGGATGACAATTATGCTCATTTTGAAGGTTCCAGAGTTGTTTCTCACAGAGGATAGTGACTTGTCCTAAATCACATGACCTGACAGAGCAGATCTCTGACCCATTTTTTTTTCTACACAATGTTGTGTTCTTCCTAAATACCGTAGCTGCCTTCACAACCTCCATATTTGTCAGAGCATCTGTGACTGAGAGGAGAGAGGTGGAGTCTACAGTGCCCACTGCCCCCAACCCTGCTCTCCCACACAGTCTGTCAAGCAAAGGCAGTTGCTCTTTGGTGCAGGACTTCAACCCTTGTGTGCAGAGCCTGGGGCTTCTCTGGAGTTCAGGACAGATCACATAACCCATAGAGATTACAGGGCTTGTTTCTGATGTTTGAGCTTTTCCTGCTCTCTGCAGAACCTGTGCATACATTCTTCAGAACCTGCATTGTACAGAGTCAGGCAATGTTTTTGAATCCTGTAGTTACCTTAAAGGCTTACAGATGTATAGAAAGCCTCTGAATAAGGACACAGAGCCCGGCTGTGGGTAGGGCCTACAACCATGCACTTTGCGCAGAGCCTGTGCGTAATGAGAATATGCCTATGTACAGAGCCCACATGGTTGTAGGACCTGTGAATATGTACAGACCTGTGGTTGTTTGCAAGCCTTTATGTATACCCACACCTCTGCTAGTGTATACAAAGTCTGAAGCTATGTTTTTTTCCTATGGCACAGGTGAGGGCTCTGAAGAAAAACCATGGCTCTTGTATCTGCTAACAGCACAGCTGCTCTGAACAGTTCTGACACTCGCACAGCAGGCTGCCTCCTCACTGGCATCCCTGGTCTGGAGCACCTACACATCTGGCTCTCCATCCCCTTCTGCACCATGTATGTAGTTGCCATGACAGGCAATGGCATTTTAATTTGTGTCATCCTGTCCCAGCCAAGCCTGAATGAGCCCATGTATATCTTCCTGTCCATGTTGGCCAGTGCCGACATCTTGCTCTCCACTTCCACAATGCCCAAAGCACTGGCCAACTTCTGGCTGGGTTCTAGCCACATTTCCTTTGATGGCTGCCTTACCCAAATGTTCTTCATCCACTTCCTCTTCGTGGCTGACTCAGCAATCCTGCTGGCCATGGCCTTTGACCGCTATGTGGCCATCTGCCTCCCACTGCGATATGCCACCATCCTCACGAGCACGGTCATTGGGAAGATCACGGCTGCCACCCTGACCCGCAGCTTCACCATCATGTTTCCGCTCGTCTTTCTCCTCAAGCGCCTGCACTACTGCCGGATCAACATCATTGCACACACGTTCTGTGAGCACATGGGCATCGCCCACCTGTCCTGTTCCAATATCTCCATCAATGTCTGGTATGGACTGGCAGCTGCTCTGCTCTCCACAGGCCTGGACATCATCCTTATCGCTGTTTCCTACATTCACATCCTCCAAGCTGTCTTCCGCCTCCCCTCTCAAAACGCCCGGTCCAAGGCCCTGAGCACATGTGGCTCCCACGTCTGTGTCATCCTGCTCTTCTACATCCCTGCCCTCTTTTCTGTCTTTGCCTACAGGTTTGGTGGGAGACGCATCCCACGCTATGTCCACATCCTACTGGCCAATCTCTATGTGGTCATCCCACCTATGCTCAATCCCATTATTTACGGAGTGAGGACCAAGCAGATTTTGGAAGGGGCTAAACAGATGTTTTCAAACCTTGTCAAGGAAACTAAGTAAATGCTCCGAACTCGATCTCAGCTTAATCCCTTTCTGTATGTATCAATTATCCAATATTCACCCTATCCTCACCTCTACATCTTCCAATTATCCACATTATTCACATCTATGTCCCAATTTATTTAAATACATGCTGTACTCAAATCCATGTTTGATTTTTTTTCTCAGAAATCTGCAGGAATACTCACTCCACTTTCTTATATTATTTGAATACCTTCTGATACTCCACCATTTCAAGAAAAAGTAAATAGGGGAAATGTGATAACTTATCTGAAATCTACCATCCAAATAGGACTTTTCTCAGCATCCACTTGCATTTTCTCCATAATATATACATGGGAACTATATGCTTATATATATAATATGCATAATATATGATATATATCTTATAATGGTCTTGGCATATAATAAATGCTTTACAAATGATAGCTTTATTTGTATTGTTCTAATTATTATTAATTAGTAGCTCATCCAACTCTATTTATAGCTCATCACCTCAAAACTAATAAAAAATTGTCCTAAGACTTAAGCAGATTACATGATGATGCTCCAGTTTTGTTTCTACAGAGTAGTAAGAGTAAACAATAATACAAAGGAAAATTATTTTAATTCTAATGTTTAACCGAATTCAACAAATATAATTTTAAAAACTCAAATGCATTTAAAAAATCATTGTAGGCACTGATTTAATATAACTATTTATTTATAAATAGTTTAAGACCCAGAGACTTGCTTGTTGTTCTGTAGCCACATCAAATTCAGTTTCTCCTCAGGCCTTGGTACTTGTTCACCTTGTTATCTGAAACACTCTTTTCCTATATCTTTATGTGACTCACTTCCTCCTTTCATTCAGCTTTCTGTTTATGTCTCTCCCAAAGAGATATCTCTGTGACCTTCTAATACAAAAAATACCTCCTTCTTATCTATGGCAAAAGAGACACTATAAGCAAATATAAAAGTCAACGTCAAAATGGGAAGAAATGTTTTCTAATTATATTACAGATAAGACTGTTTTTTTTCCTGATATATATGGGGCCCCTAAAATGTAGGGGGAACAAATGACCAAAAGTCTGATGGAAAAAAAGGACAAAGACAATTAGAATATGCTTAACTCTAACAAGAAAAATTCAATTAAGACTATGCCAAGACAGTCTTTCTTACCTGCTAAATTGACAAAAATTAGAAGTACTAACACCATGTTGGCAATGATGTGGGGAAACAGGCCTTCTTATACACTGCTTTTGAATACGCAGTATGATAAAATGTCTGTGGAGCTTGGAAATTCTTAACAAAATTCCTATGCATTCATTCATCCCTTGATTCAGCAATCACACTTAGAGGAAATAGTTTTTGGATATGCCTCCACAGGTACAAAACTACATATGACAAGGTTAATAATGATGGCAAAGGTTTTGTAATACAAAAATGTTTGCAACAGCTTAAATGGGGTCTGTCCTCCTGGCCACAATTCCATGCCCTTACGCTTACTCAGCACTGTTATCCTTCCCAAGCTACACAAAGGTTTTGAAGTCACATGGACTCTGGTTAAGGTGTAGTGACCATGTTTAGAACATATTAGCTTGTTTGTCACTGGGCAGTATATTAAACCTCTTTAAAGGTCAGTTTCCTTAGAAAAAGTGACCATATCTATTTCACAGTTGTACTGATTATTAACGAAATTAGCTGGATCTAATAAATCAGGTATATTTGTGCACACCTCTCAGATAACTGTATTCTGTAGATTAAATGTCTAAAAGTGGAACATTTAAATCATAGATTATACATTTTAAAAATGCTAATTACTTAGTATATATTTTTTCTTTAAGACATAAACATACTATATCTTCTTATGTTATTCTATTTTTTGTTAAAAAATTAGCACAATTAGTAAATGATTAAATTTTAAAAGTGGAAAGCAAAATTTCCCAGGTGTTATTTCCACAAAAATAACATGTTCTTGTCCAGAATTAAAGGGAGGATCAGACATTTTTTTTTTTTTTTTGAGAGGGCATCTCTCATATTTATTGATCAAATGGTTGTTAACAACAATAAAATTCAGTATAGGGGGGTCAACGCTCAATGTACAGTCATTAATCCATCTCAAGCCTAATTCTCGTCAGTCTCCAATCTTCTGAAGCATAACGAACAAGTTCTTACATGGTGAACAAATTCTTACATAGTGAATAAATTCTTACATGGTGAACAGTACAAGGGCATTCATCACAGAAACTTTCGGTTTTGATCATGCATTATGACCTATAAACAATCAGGTCAAATATGAATATTCGTTTGATTTTTGTACTTGATTTATATGTTGATCCCACATTTCTCCTATTATTATTATTATTTTTATTTTTAATAAAATGCTGAAGTGGTAGGTAGATGCAAGATAAAGGTAGAAAACATAGTTTAGTGCTGTAAGAAGGCAAATGTAGATGATCAGATGATCAGGTGTGTGCCTATGGACTAAGTATTAATCCAGGCTAGACAAGGGCAGCAAGACATCCACGGATGCAGAAGATTTCTCTCAAAGCAGGGGGGGTGAGGTTCTGAGCCTCACCTCTGTTGATCCCCAAATTCTCACCTGATGGCCCCCCTGCGACTGTGCCTGTCTTAGGTTGTTCCTCCCTTGAGGAATCTTACCCGTCTCTGGCTAACCAGTCATCTTCCGGGGCCATACAGGGAAATGTAAAGTTGGTAAGTGAGAGAGAAGCCATATTGTTTGCAAAGGTTAGCTTTTTACTTCTTTGCAGATTTATGCCCTGTGGCTTCTATGCCCAGCACTTGTCTCGAGGTATCTTTACCACCTGGAGGAATTATGATACTCGGTAAATTCGATATGAGGCACGAATTCTATTTAAGGGTTGTAATTAGGAAGGAAGAAGAAAAGCTATAGATGTAGCATATGAAGGAAACTTGGGAGGATTGATTATTTCTTTGACATATCTTCTTGTATAGTACCTTAAGTATGTATAGGTTTTAAACTACTAACTAATTTGCACACACATATTAACATAATAGGAATACGGTGACATAAACAAAGCAAATCTATAATTACCAGCCATCTCCAGTGAAGCCAAGAAAACCATTTAGGCACCCTAGGCATTTGTGAAAATTTATCTATGATATGATGGATATTGTCCAACTGTACTTGAACCATCAGACAAATTAAAGCAGCCCATTTCTGGGATCTGTTCACATCCCATATGTTCTTTTAACCATAGATAGTCTATAGTCATGAGATTTTGGGGTGCTACAACTTGCACCCCTCCCAACTCCTGGTTGAGTTCCAACAGTACAGATCCAGTCAAATTCGTTGTCTCACTGTATGCACATGCCAGCCTAGACATCTCCCTCCTCCTTCTTATGGCAAGTCCAGGAGACGGTGGGCTGGATGCAGCCACAACCGCAGCATCGTCCGGATCCCTGTGGAGGCTTTTTGATGATCATCCCCCGGCACGAGTCCTCCAGAGAGTGCTGATGCCGGAAGCTCCTCCTCATATCGTATCTTAGTTCATTTTCTGGGTATCCAAGCTAGGCCTTGATCTTCTGCATAGAAACAAACAGACCCTTTGCCCACACTTTGACATGCCCTCTATACCACTGTGCAGAACTCATTGGAGGTCAGCACACAGTAACTGCTTTTTTTTTTTAATTAAGAGAAAGGAATATTATCAGAAAAGAGTACCTCCATAGCTGATCATCTGACACCCTTTAAGTGATCAACATTAAGGATATTTAAAGCATGCGTTGGATCAGACATTTTTAAGAAGCACTGCAAGGGGGCCATTGACTGAGGGCTGACTCTGAGTGGGAGATTGAATAAGGAAGATTTGATCCAGAAGGTAAAATATAGTTTATGGGAAAAGGTATCTAGGGATTTGAGATGTTTCTTCTCATTGAGTCTCTACCATTCATCCAAGCCTCTATCTCAGCCTTCCCCTGACATTAAAGTTCTCTCAGTTATCCCTGAGAATGACCAAATGAATGGTATCCTTACCATTTCAACTTGACAGCTTTTCAGAAGAATTAAATTGGAAAGAACAGTGAGAAGGGGGAAAAATGAGCATGTTAGACATCCTGATCTGGGAGAGGGTTACATGAGTGTATACACATGTCAAAATTCATCAAGCTATACACTAAGATTTGTGCATTTAATTGTATATACCTCAACATTAAAAAATTTTAAATAAAAGAAAGAACTGTGAAAAGAAAAACCTGGGACAGTCCTTCCCATGTTTCCAAGCCTCAAAACCCTCAATCTCCTTATTATTTTACATTTTAGCCCTAGAACAAGCATTCAGAAACCTTTAGATGAAATTCTTTTTCTTGAGCTTCGGGGTGTCATAAGCCTACTGATGGTCACCTTCTTTGCTTTCTTTACTTATGCTATTTTTATTAATGAGAAGTTTTTTTTTTAACTTTACTTGCATATCTTTGTAAACATCAATGATGATTTGAATAAACAACCCTAGGGGATCTGTTCCAGTTTAGCAGACTTCAAGGAACTGCTTTGGTAACTTTTGATAACAAATTCTTTGGCTCCTCCCCTTCCTCAGTCTGAATAGCCTTGGATAAGATGAGAGCCTAGAAGTCCCTGGAGCAAACAGAATCTCACCAGCTTGAATTAGGAAACAGCCACTAGTGAGGAGCAAGGGAGGGAGTGACCTGTGCCCTCACCCTGGACCTCCTAACAGTGCCCTTGAACACCAGTTGTGCCCACAGCATCTGCAGAGGCTGTGCCTTTAGAATCTGGGAGAAGTGAAGTCAGTCAAGGAAAAGAGCAAACCTATGCTGCTGTGTCCTCCATCATCCTAGAAAACACCAGCCCGTTCCTCAATTGGCCATCCTAGCTGAAAACCCCAGGGCACTGGAGCTGGGCCCTAAAAGAAACTTCATAAGCATTGTCAGGAAATATTGTCAAAGACTTGGAAATGGGACAAGAGATTCCTGGGTGTCTTCCCAGTGGAATCCTAACAGTCTGAGGATTATCTAGTTCTAAAAGGATATACTACTTTGATTCTCTTTGAATGACTAGGGTTTAGGCTACTTTGCAACCCTGTAGATTGTAGATAATGTTAATAGAGCAAATATTTTCTGTCTGGCATTGCAAACGATTCCTGTTCATGGCAAATGCAGATTATTTTAGTCTGGTAGAGAATAAGAATTTGTCAAATACTGGCTCCCTCAGAATATCCCATAAATGATTTGTCGCTAAGACAAAGTGATGTTTAATTTCAGCACAAGAAGGGAGATGGTCTTCCAAGGGAGGAGGGTAAAATTATTTGTGGGATATTTGTGAAAACTTGGAGCCTTGTGTAAGATGGGCCTTGCAATTCAGGGGCTTGATTATGACTGGGTAAGGATAACAGTTTAGGAGTGATGGAAAAAGGAAGGTAAAAATTTTGAGGTGAAGAAGCTTGAATTTTGAAGAGGCTTGAAGAATTTTGAGATAAGGGAGTAAACTATTGTTTGATACTATGGATCGATGTGTTAAACAAGTTGATACAC